TCCTGAAAACGTGCACACATGTAACACATTGCTAAGGAGCAAACAAAATAAAATACAGGCAGAAAAATCAAAATTAGAAACCAACTGTATAAAACAGGTGTTCATCTTTTTACAAAGTCATTCTAATATGCTGAGAAAATGAAATTTTAAATATATTACAATATAGGTTGTTGTAATACATAAATATATTACAATATATACAAATTTAGACTACAGAATTGCAACACTAAGAAGTGGGAATACCGATCAAGAGAAGAATAAATTATTCATCTTATTCTAGAATTGCAATACAGATCAGCAAACAACAAAACATGCTTTCCCAAGGATGCCTCATTCCTCCTCCTTACACTGCAAAAGCATATGGCAAAATATTCTATTTTTTAAGCCCCCACAAATAAATGTGAACAGCGCCAGCATCTAACAGCTGATGGACACCACTAGAGCTTGCAGAAAGTGTGAAGATATGAAGTTCTCGTCTCTACCAACTCCAGCTCCTTTTGTCAGTTATCAGGTGCACTAAAAAAGACTTCATCAAGAGTACACTCACCAAACAGATTTGGAAAATGGCCAGAAAAAGAGTGTAATTTAAGCTAGACATAATAGAGCTGCAGCAGAAAAAGAAACTACATTTCAAAATCCTTTTTTTAATATCAGAACTGTTTTAAGGTCAGTATGTAGATAAACAAACCTGCAACAGAATTAAGTATTTAAGACTAAAACATGAAAACACCAGCATTGTGTGACAAAATGAAACAAGCTGCCAAACTTCATAAAACAGATAGAAGAATTAGCAGTTTTACAAGGACTTTTCAACTCTGGAAAAAACAGAAAGTCAAGTATTTCCAAAACACCGAAATAAACGTGATCTTCACTCTCTGCAATTTTCTTTCCCCTTAGAAAAAACAAGCAGAATGCTATGACAGAATGAGAATTTTGAAAATCTGCATAGCTTGCTTCCAGTTGAAAGAGAAGGAACAGATCTAAAGCTTGGGTTTTAGTGTTAACTTCTGTCCTTTTTTTACCCCAAACCACCATATGCCGCTTTGTCATAGTTTTCTCATCTTCTGTATTATTCGTACATTACTTCCCCCCTTTAACATTTGTTTCGCTACATGACAGCCTTCACTTATCACATTGTCCCTTCAGCAGATCAGACACTCACTACATCTTTGCTAGCACTTTTCTCGTATTTGGATCTCCAATGCTGCTGCCTAAGACTCTGGGTGCCCTTGGTGTTTTATGTCTTTGAGATACTTACAGACAAATTATGGAGAAAGACATAACATCAGCTATGACTTCAAAACCAAAGTAGTAAAGCCATGTCACTACCCAAATCTTAAGCAGAAGAGTATTTAATCTGTATTTTAAACTCCACTGACTATTGAGGCCAGACAGAGAATTACAGTAAGCCTGACTGGATCATTGAAGTCATACCTATAATGTCATATTGCATAGTGTAAGAACTGATTTACTCAAAGACACAGTCTGTGGCATAACGTACACATTTGACAGCTGCTTGTTTCATACAGGGGAAGGAAAACTTTCTTCTCCTATTTAGTGACTTACAGTAACTAGAAAGTAAATATATTTATCAGTGTGATGAATGAGCATATCCTGCAACTATTCCATGTACATTAGATGGCTTATTGTTGTAGATAATGGTTCCATCATTCCAAAAATAATCTACTGTCTCCAACATTTCCCCTATGGTTAAGCTGGCATTCACAAGCATGTAATAGGGAGCAGTCGCAGAAGCCTACTGTGATCTTCCGATTTAAAAATACCATTGAAAAGCAGTGATTAGTCACCGCCCAGGCAGCATGAGTAAGAAAAGGTCCACAAAGTTCTGTTCTGTAACTGAATTATCTCTTTTACCGATAACATGACTAGTGATTCAGAAGCAAGAAGCAAATCTAAATACAGATTATAGATATGAGAAAGCTAAGGATCTATATATAATTTTTTAATCTAGTCCTCAGTAGATCCCCAGCATCTCAGTCTCTCAAAGAATATACTGAAGGAGATAATATTAGACCTTTTCCAAAAAAATCAGCAACAATCTAGTAACAAAATACCTCCATCCCTATTTCCCCACTTCTGCAAAGATGGAATATTTGCCAATTAATAACAGATGTACTGTAGTCTCAATAATGAACATAGAGGATAAGATGCAATCAATAAAGTAACTGTGAAGAAGCTACGGTGAAAACAGACAAAACCCACTCTGTTAAAAAAAAATTCAAAAATATTCACACAAGTGCTTTAGGAGAACTCAAGAATGAACCAAATTAATTATTAACCTCTCATTCAAAACTTCTTTGATGCCTGGAGTTTAAAGGTGGCAATCTCTAAAAATAAAAAGAACTCCAAGGGGATTCAAGCAACTCTAGTTCCGTGAGCCCGATGTTCGTACGAAGCAACTTAACAGAATACATCAAAAGCTAAATTAAGTGGACAATAGTGAGACGGTCTGCCTGGGAAGAAGTGGCTTCTGCAGAAGGAACCTCTTGGGAGCTCTCTAAAGGGGTCAAGAAGCTTGTGAAGAATGGCGATTCAACTGACAGCCTCTGCATTTCCAAATAGGTTCTGTCAAAATACCTCAGTAAAGGCTTTTAAGAAAATTCAGGAGCTATAGCATAAGAGGAAGGGGCCCAAAATGCATAAATAATTCTTAATGATAAATAGGGATAACCACTTCTCAGAAGAGAAGGATGTCACCGCTGAAGTTCTTGAGGACTCGGAGGGTTTTGTTTTCACATAAAATCTGCAAAAACGGGGAGAGCAATGAGGTCTGAAAGGTTGCTACTGCTGCAAAATTATTCAGGGTAATAACAACAGCAGACTGAAGAACTGCACAGGATCTTAAAGTCTGAACAACAGGTAATAAAATGGCAAGATGAGATTCAACTGGTAAACACAGGGAGAACAATTTTAGCATCAGATAGAGAATGACAGCCTCTGAGTTCACGAGCATGATCTTGGGGTTTTGGCAGACAACTTCAAAAAAAACATCAGCTCACCACTTGGCAACAAAATCCAAAGTCAAATATTGGGAGCCACTGGAAAAACAACAGAAAATAATTACGCCACTGAAAATCCATGGTTTGCTCATATCTTGAGTAAGTGTAGTCCTGATTCACTTATCACTAAGAGCAAATAGTATAATTGAAAAAGGTTTAGAGCAAGATAAAAGGAATGACCAAAGCTATGGACAACTTCTGGACAAAGAGCGATCATGTAGACTGTAACTTTTCCAACCTGAAAAAGTAACCACGTCGGCAAAGTGTGACTGAGGTCTACGAAGTCACAACTGGTGCAGAGGGGCCAGGCAGGAACCAGGGGCCATTCAATCAAGCTGTTAAGAGCCAGGTCCAGAGCAAACAAAAGGACACAGAGGAACACAGACCCACAGAAGTCTCTGTGAAAGCACAATTCTCATACAAAGTTTTTACACAATATTAAGGGAGCCTGGACAATTATGTAAGAAGAGAGGTTATTACATCCACAAACCACAGGAGGCTGAAAAAGAAACTTATATATAATTTCATTACATTTTGCAGACTTGTTCTCACAAACTTCACTTAATGTCCTACCCAAGCCAAAAATTAGTAGACAAATTGCCTCAGTTTTGCAAACAATGTATGATTTATTAGGACACTAATTGAACATACTCTAATTACTTTTAAGCAACATTCCACTTCAAGTGTTGCAAAAGCATGAAATGTCAAAGGGATTTGTGAATTACTTCTTAAAATGAAGTCCATTCAGAAACCCTGTTGTAAGGCCTTCAATATGCTCATACTTGCAAGCCGAAGATTGCAAATACTCAGGATAATGAGGAAGATAACATTACCTTCTCTAAAGTCGAGTTTTGTGCATGCTAAGCTGTGTTTTACCTGCAAGAGGAATTAACTCCAGCGCAAAGAACTCTGGATTCTATTTCCACCACCAGTCAAATAATTTCATAATTCAACTGGTATGTTATTAAACAAATGTTTATTTCTGTAGCCTTTATATTGTGCTAATGCTTCATGGTTCAAGCTTCTCCCATTGCATTACCCTGAACACTATACACATATAACAAAAAGAGAAATCCCGCATCACACACACAATCTCCGCAGTACTGAGACAGTAAGGCACAAAGGAAGAAAGCTGTCACAGAAATACAGAAAGCAGCAACAACTTCTACTTAATTTCTCCCCTCTGCTTTATGATATTAATACTTCAGGGACACTGAGGCCATTACTCTCTACAAAACAGGTTATCCTCTAAACAGTAAAGCAAAACGAAGTCTGGTTTCCTACTGATGTGTGTAGGATCCCTAATGTCTAATCAAAGTTGAGCTGAAGCACGGCGTTTTCTTTAACACAACTATTATTATGGTCTCTCCCTGTCATCCAGTTCCTCATTGTCATTAAATATGCAGAACCTTAAGCCAAGACCTCTATTCTTCCATCAGCTTTGGCTGAAATGGTCCAATAGGTTTAAAAGCTGCTTCTGCACTCTGTGAGGCTCCTTGAGCACACAGACATTCACAATTAACACTTGTGCCCACAGGCAATACGATCACGTTAACCCTGCTCTCTCAAATAAAGCTAAGGTAAAATGTGTTTAGATCCCAATTTAATCCCATGCACTGATGCAGGAGTTAATTTGTTAGTATCTGCCAGACACACTTTTACTGCAAAGCAGCAGAGTTCAACAAAGGTAACGACCCAGGGAATGTTTAGCAGCAATGCACTCTTTGTTACATGAAACTGCCAAGATTAGTGCACTTGATTTCAATAATATGGAGACATTACACAAAGTTCTCCAAATGTTTTCCAAAAAAGCTGATGAAGTCCAAAAAAAAAAGCTACTTGCATTAAAAAATGGATATTGAAAAATTCCTTAAACATTTTCTTTAAAATTAACATTAATTTTACACCAATCACTAAAGTATAAGGATATAGGAATGTATTTACATGCAGATTACTACCAAAACATCAGGTTGCTCTTACCTTGAACTAGATCTTGACTTTACATCTTCCTTCACTGTTCTTTCACTACTAGCTTCTTCACCGTTGTCCATTTTTTTCTCACATAGCTGTCTTCTCTTCTCCCACTTCTTCTGCTGATTTGAGATGCTTTCTGCTTCTCCTTGTGAGTCATTTTCTGCTCCTACCTGTGGACCTGAGGAATGTGCCAGGCACTTAGAAGAGACTGGCAGTTTTTGCTCTTCTCTGCCAAAGTCCCTTTCTGCTAACAAAGCAGAAGTTTCAGGTTTTAATGTTTCCTGTGCAGGGACTGAATTGTCCGAGTTATCTATGTGGTCCATTTCCTTAGACTTTACTAATGTGTATGAAGCATTTACAACACCTCCTGCAGAATGTTTAGTCTTTAAACCTTCAACACTGTCCTCCCTGCTGTCTTCACAGCTGCCACAACACACACAGGAATTAATTAGACAGTTCGTGGCAGCTATACTGAGTTTATGGGACTCATCCTCCTCCCCATTTGCTAATGGATTAGCAGATCCAGGAACACAACTAATAGCTGCTTCTGGAGTAGTTACTGGGGATTCTGAGCTGGAGGGAGATTTAGGATTGAATATTACAGTAGCAGATATTTTCATTCCCCCTGTCCTGTGAGCTATCACTTCTGCCATTTCAGCATCATCAGCGTAGGCATCCCAGCCATTGAGGTATAACTGCGAGTCCGGACCTTCTAGACAGCTGCACGAATTCTGAACTGAAATGCTAGACATCTGTTTGCCATCTTCAATATTGTTATTATTGCTTAAGTCACTTTCAGCATCTTTTAAAAGCAAAGTTTCCTCTGTCTGATGGCCGTTCTCGTACAGCAAAGCGTCTCTATATTGCAGGTTCTGTTTTGAATCATGGCAAGGGTTATTCACCCAAGCGAAAGTATCGCTTACTGAATCCAACCCAGCAAGTGCTTCTCCTGCTCCATCTAGGTCTTCCATAAAAAACACTCTGTCCTCTTCATCAGTTAAATTGTCAAGATGGTGTCTTGTTGGTGAAGCTTCTGTGCTAGAACTATTTCTTAGGCTAGGTCTGTGAGCTGGAGACTGACAGATACTTGGAGGGGAAAGCAGAGAAGACATTTCATCTCCAACTCTGTGTACCATCCTGTTCAGCTGTTCCAGCTCCTGTTCATCATACTGCATAGAACAAGCCAGCTCAGCCTCTGTGTTTTCAGCCTTTGCTGAAAGCTCCTTTGCAGGCAAAGTCGCAGTTATGCCCGGTGTAATGACAGAGGGTACTTCAGGATCCGCTCTGACAGGAAAATCCACGTCTTGAGAGATGCAGAGGTTACGTTCCAGCGTGTGCAGTTCATCCTCAGTTAATGTCTGAAGCAGATCCCTGAAAACAAATACACACATCACTTTGCATTTACAATCATAGGAGGCACTGATGTTATGGATTTTAAAAAAGTTTTTGCTGTTCGTACAGAAATCCAGAACTTTGGGGCACAGATTACTTTCAACTGTATAATTCCAGATGCATTTGGCATTCGTATTCAGAACACGTGATTGCTGATGCCTGAATTTGAGATTACTTATGCAAATACAAAGTACCAAATTATTTACATCCTTGCAGTGATGCCCCCCAAATAAATCAAAACACACCCAAGAATGGATCTTTCCTCCTCCCCATCTACTGACAGTGAAAGTGTTGCCCACAATTACATACATTCTGTCATTTTATTTTTTTTAATGCACAAATTTAACTTTGATTAGCAAACCAATTTGCCATCCTTCATACTAGATTCTGAAAATTATTCTGCAAAAGACTATGGCAGAAGTTTCACACCATTATATTGTCAGATGAAAAGAAAAAATAGTTAAAAATAGTAATATCGCTTATACAACACTGATGTCTTGGAAGCCTGTTCACTGAAACAGGGACTGGAAGTTGGCACGCTCTGTCATATCTCTGTCATTAGCGAGTTAAGCTCCTGCACGATGTTAAGAAGCAGGCAGGCCTAAAAGCAAATATTTAGGTATTCGCTAAACTATGTTTTCTAGAGACATGGAACATCTCCAATGTTATCAAGTGTCCTCAGTATTGCAGTGTAGGACTATGACCACCTAAAACCAAAGAGTTATTTGAAGCAGTTGTGTTTAAGTGCCTTATAACTTTAAAACAAATCCATAGACACAGCAGCACTTAATTTTAGGTCTGAATTTGCTTCACACCATGCTTCTCAATTAGAAACCACATATATAAATATCTTCTGTCAAGAACTGCTGTCAACATTTTCAAAGACCAGCAAGTATATTTTAGCATAAATGAATAGATGGGAAAAGCAAAACTTTCTGCCTAAACACAGGCTAGGAGTCCGTTATTCCTCATGTGTTTAGAAATCATTTGCTAGCAGGTGACATACACCTGGCATAATAATACACACATATTAAAAGAATTGCCTTAAAGGTATAACTTCAGTCTAAATGGGATCAAAAAATCCCCAAAGAAACATTCAGAACATATCACAGCTTGATTTCCAAGCCAATAGACTGCATTCTTAACTTAACTCCAAGACCCGTTTTTTCCATAGTACTGTCATTAAAAGATCAAATTGCTCAAAAAACACATTGCTAGTACCTAAGTTATAGATCAGCTACCCTACATCTTTTAAAAAGGTAACAGTTTAGATAAGCATGCTTAAACCAAATAAGTACAAATATAGATTTTTATGGTTATGTATATTCCACACAATTAACATCTTTACTTTTCTTAAAAAAATCATGCTTTTATATAAGACCTACATGACCCTGAAAAAAATTCTAAGCCTACGGAAGAAGTACCTTCTAAGAACAATTACACCATTGTATCCCCCCCCTTTTCACTTGTTTCCACATTCTCTAATACAGAAGTCAGTATTTCTAAATCATTCCATATACATCTTCGAGTCCAAAATTTGACAATTTTTCAGCCATAAATAAGGGAAATGGGCAATTTTTGTTAGAATCACCTAATAAAGCTATAAACAAGTATTGCACCACACTAGAAAATTTTGAAATACCTATACATTACTTTCTTTTGTGTAAACAGTATATAATGATACCGCCTCATTACTCAGATGTTTTATTTAAAAAGTAATCAGCATCTGTAAGAGATTAAGCATTTTAACATCATCACAAAAACAAATTGACAGCGAATGGTTTAAGTTGTAAGGTCAACACAAAAATAGCTGTGTTTTTGAAAAAATTATAGCAATATAATAAAAATATAGAATAACATCATTTTTGCCATAAGGCTTTGTATCATGAATTTTCAGTTTGTCAGTTTTTACAGAAATGCTGTGATGTAGGATAAGCAGGAACAAAGTAATGTAAGATTTTAGAAAAAGCTGGGTTTTTAATTTAAAAAACCACAACAAAGAGTAAGCAGAAATGCAACTGTGAAGGGCTTAAGATTGTTCCTCACCTATGCAATGATATTAAAAAGATATTTCTGGGTCAGGCCAGTATCCATCAAGTAGGGAAGCCTGTCTGGTAACAGATTTTAAGAAGAAGCACCACAACAGGACAAGCACACAGGGATCTCTGCTGAGTGCATCATACTGCCTTCCAGCAGACTGTAGCTCAGGGATTTCTGAACCAAGGTGGCATCCTTGTGTTCAATAATCCTTAAGGTTTTCTTGCATGGATGAAAATGTGCATGTCAGGAACTGATCACCAGCCAACTGCCTAAACATCAGCTATGCTTCTCCATACACCACACTCATACCCTTCTCTCAAAACACGAGGTAAGAATCAGCAACTTCTTCAAATACAGACTATACTAGCAACATTGAAAAGAATTTGCTTTCCATCCAAGCTCATCAGCATACCTGGGAATGAAATGGGCCCAGGGAAAATCTAAGATTGAATCTTTTGACTTTCAGCATCTAGTCTGGGGTTTCATTCAGGCTCCAGAACATCGCACTGCAGTGCCCAGGATTCCTGGATGTCTGGGTGCCCAGAGCTGCTCTGCTTCCTTTCTGAAGACACAGAGAGCGCCTGACTGCTCAGACCTACCCGATACAGGTTTCACACACTCACTGTAAATCAAATGCTAGAAATACATATTTCCTTTATGCTGGCTAGCTTCATTGACTGGAGTAGTGAACTCTTTGTTTCTGCCAATAACAACACCTCAAAATTTAAGAACAATTGTGTGCAGTTTTGAGGCTAAGTAAATAAAGCTTGATAAAAAAAAAAAATCAATGAAATCAGCTGGCAGTCCTTGTGTCTTTTTAAGCGAGTCAGATCCATGCTGCCTTGCAAGAGTTGTTAGACATAATCAGTTGTATTACAGTGGTAGTCCATCAGCCCTGTTATTTCAGTAGAGAAATAATCCTGCTTTAAAGTCAAAGGAAATACGCTAATTTTCCCAATTCAAACACCAGAAATTTTGTTTGGTCTAAAAGAGGTTTGGACAGATATCTTCACTTCCCTGCATAAAAAAACCCCCTAGAGCCACTGGGCTGTTTTAAGAACAAGTTTCCTTGCAAGGTGACAATAGTTTGATCAACAGTTATGTTTTTGATATGCTATATATTAGATTATACAGGATTCACTGTCAACATTAGGAACAAGGCATGTTTTAAAACACCTGTGTAGATATTGAGAATGAAATTAATGTCAACCACTATATGGAAAGAAATGCTAAATTTCACTACTGGAAGTTTGAAATGAAACATCAGGCATCGTTATTAAATGTTTAATCAAGCTGTAGCTACATAAAAACCTGCTGAAGCATCTGTAACTCGTCATTGGGCCCAAGTAAGTGCTGTGCTCATATGGAAAACAGAATTTCTCCCTCTGCTTTCATTATTCAGAAGCTGCAGGTAAAGGGAGGTTCTGCAACGCAGCCTGACAGCAGCAGCGTGCTTCCTGCTCACAGAACCTTTAGAAAACACTGAATTTAGAAAAGGCGCAAGTTGAGGTTTTGCCTGCTTTTACTCTTTTTGGCATGGTATCACAGGAAGGCAATCTAGCCTTGAAAATACCAGGAATATTTTTCTGCCAGTGACTATAGCCACTGGCAGAAAAACAAGAAAACTTCTTAAGATGGACTCTGCTTGTTACAAGCAGTAGTAGAAAATTACTCTGCCTACTGCAAAACCAATGAACAATTTAACTCCGCTGCCAGTATCCAGGGTGCAGAAACTACTTCTTCAAAGATCTGAAGCCAGATGTCCATTTAAAGACAAATTTGACTAAATGGAGGACACGGCCACAAAAACCCAAGTGCACTGATCTCACACATTCTCCAGACCTCTTTCATTAACTTTGCTCCTATTCTGACTAGAATTTTAAATTATCTGTTTTCAGGGAACATCACTGTTGTTATTGCCAGCCTGTGCTTCAGTTCATGCTCTAAACAGAGCATAAACAGCAGTCTTTACAGAGCTGCCACCATAGGAAAGTGATGCAGGTACAGGAATGCAATTTCCACCCTCCTGCTTCTGCAGTGCTGAGCTGCGTGCATCACACCAAAGTCAGCAGATCTGCTCCAACACATCAACACTGAGAAACCAACACTGACATATACCAAACATCACTGGTACTCCTTTACTGCAAAAGTTTTAAATCAATTCAACACAACCATCTTGGAAAAAACTAAACAGTTTTCCCCCAAACACTGTGCACGCTTTAAAAGCATACGAGCTTCCCACCTACCTCCGCTATCATTAACACACTGACAACAGGTATATCGCATTTGAGTTCTAGTCAATGATGCAGAAAGGTTTCAGTGTACTTAAAATGGTGTGATCCTCTGATTCTGCACCACTTGATCTACAATCTGCTTGATTCTGCACCACCAAAATCCAGGGGGATCCTGCCATCAATTGCAGTGGTCCAGAAACAAGCACCAGGCATGCAGAGGGCTCTGAAAAAGGGCAGAATTAAGGAGTACTGCAAAATCCCAAGTTTGCTCACCTCTGAAAATCTCCATGTAGCAGCCTCAAATGTATACATAATATAGGTAGTATTTTATCACAAGAATGTTCAGTGTCACAAGCATCTAAATTAAATATCTATGCACATACCAGATGATATGTTTTGTATACTTAGTAGGCAGATTACAGTAGTTTGGCAGAAATGGTTCAAATGTCTTAGTTTAAAAGGAACAGAGATACCACTACTATATATGCATTAGTAGATGTATAAAATACCCATGCTGACTTTCTGTATCTAAAATAAAAATCAACAGAAGCATCTGTCTTAGGCATTAATTAAAATATTCAAAGTCATTGTTTGTTGCTCAGCCTTACCAAAACCTAAACAATTACTCTTGCTGCTTTTGCTCAGAGAGTCTCTACAATCTCTATTGTTTTCAAGTTGCAAGCCACCTAGCCAATATTTCCTAGCCAACAGATATTCTTCTCTGTTCATTCCAGTTTAATTATGTGGATCCACACACATACAGTGCTTATCATTGACTTTAACAGGAAGGATGTTTTCAGATCATAGCATCATAAAACAGTTCGGGCTGGAAGGGACCTTTAAAGGCCATCGAGTCCAACCCCCCTGCAATGAGCAGGGACATCTTCAACTGGATCAGGTTGCTCAGAGCCCATCCAAGCTGACCTTGAATGTTGCCAGTGACGGGGTATCTACCACCTTCTCTGGACAACCTAAGGATAATACAGCTTAAAAATTACCTTTAATTCTACAAAATTATCAGCTGTCTATTTGGTGTTATCCCACAAGTTAAAATATTTAGTTGGCTAAAAAGTTACAGAACTTTACGGAGAAATTGACTGGGATGTGATCATATTCTGCAGTCAGATGTTGTTTTATATTCTTACAACAGCCACACAACAGCAATATGAGATGCAACTCTTAACAGAAGACTACTTGAATCTATTTTCATGCCTTAACTATTGGTGATGGAGACTGGAGAATGACTCCTGGAAAAATGCTCCCATTTTGCTGAAATATCTCTTTCCATCTTCCCTTACAGGTTTCTGTGAACATTCTCACTGTGTAGGAATTGCAGGCTGATGAGCTAAAAAAAAAATCTGTGATAAAAAAAAATCTAGGTAGCTTAGGCACTTTTAAAAGTAAATTAATTATCCTACATGAACTACACACTTACTTGGATCTCATTGTTATTTTCCTTCAACGTATTTTCATTCAGGAATTACTAAAGGGTCTTTTTGAGTCTAGTTCTTTCAAATCTTTAAGTTCCTTGACATTCCTTCAATTCAGAGATTGCCAGAGATTAAATTTTACATTACATTTTAACTTGCTTCAATTTTTCCTCTGATAAACACTATCTCACTAAGAACACTTTACAAGCTGTGTCTGCTAGACAACTGAAATCACGTTTCTCAGTGGTCACTTAAAAGAACACAAGTCTTAAAGAATATCAGAACTTTAAAAAAAAGACACTGAAAGTTTTTTCATTTTTCGAAGTCTGCATTGAAAATTGTAGTTATTGAACAAGCAAGCATTTTACTAATGTGTTTTCAACCCAAGCATTACGTTCAGAGTAACTGAAAATTAAATGGACTAAGCAATAAACTGACCTCATTGATTTTCATTTTCTGTGTGAAATGTAAGGAGTAAGCAGAAAGCACAGATTATGAGAAGTATATTAACTTTTAAATATTGTTTTGGTTTTAGTCAGTCAGTGAAATGCTGATGAAAATTTCTGTGATAGACATATTGGGAATAAGGTATTTTAACTTAAACTTCAACGGACTTCTTAAGCTTCAGTACCATTAAAGCTTTTTTTCCCCCCTCTAACTCAAGTTTTGCTCCTCAATTTCTGTTATTCTTCTTTACTCAGTGTTTTATAAAACCATAATCACTCACCCCTCCATGTTCATTTGTCAATTGAACTTTGAGATTTCAGTATGAGTATCATTTATGTACCTAAAACTAGAACTCTATCAGTTCTAGACAGAAATACTAGGAAATCAAAGGACACAAAGGATGTAGTCTGCGTATTCATAAAAGCTAAGAAATAGGCCACTCTCTGAACCTTCCCTGACGCCTCACCTTTGACTGGTGAGAGGGGATTAATCTGGATAAACTTATCTATGTGAAAAATATTCTTATATCAAACCATCATCACGACATACAGGGAAAGTGATCAACAAGTGAAAATTGGACACAGGCAAGAAAAACTTCTACCAAATTTTCTCTAGAGCTTTCTATGGACAAAATTTGCAGTTGATACACAAATTTGAATTCTAAGAAAATAATAGGGCTTACAGATTTACAAAACACATTTTTTTAACACCCACATAAGATACCTTAAGGCTGAACATAAAAAAATTAATATAAGGATCCTTTAAAGATAAGCTTGATATCTCCAATGTAACCGATCCGTCTTCCAAAGACCTCAATTAAGAAAACCATATTTTAATGCCCTTTATACTTAAGTTGAGCCAAAGCCCACATCTCCAATTTTACCAAGACTGAAGCACCGTAAAAAGAGGTAATATAAAATGATCCATCCTGGAAAAACAGATCCACAATATGAAAAAGCGATAGTCACTTCTATTAGATTAAGAATGACCCGAGTATTGCATCATAACATACTGGGAAAATGTAATAAGCCTAGTTAAACAGAAACATTGACGCTAATTAGAAACAGGATGTCCCAAAAATAAACTGCAACTTCGGTATTTCATCATCCAAACATAAGGAAAAATCTAAAATGTATTAAAATGATATTCAGAAAAAAAAGAAACTATCAAAGACATGGAACTATCACAAAGACATGAAAATCCCATGAAATTAAAAACTACATTTAGTTATTTCATGGGTATACCAGGCAGCTAAGAGGAAAATGCAGTTTATGGTTAACACAGCAAACACTTTTCTAGACATTTGTGTTCTTTTTTAGGCCCCTGATTTTCTCTTCAGAAGAGAAGCCATTACAACCATCTTTTATTACTTGCCTTATTTTTCTTAGCAGAGTGTGAAAAGGTCTGAAGAGTTCAGACATATCTTCTGGTTTATGGTCCAAGTTTAATGGTCCCTCAGAGTAGACAACAAGGCCACTGTAGTTTGAACACATGCATGAACACATACAAAAAAGAAAATTTCGTTTCACATAGCAACTACTGAATAAGGAGTCAGAAAAGCAACTGTACATAAACATTAGAACTACACTCAAGTTACATACTGTTATTTTATTTTTGTCTTATTCACCCAGAGTTAGAATTCAATGCTAAAGCAACATGAAAAAGATCCCTTCCTCTCTATGACACACACCCCACACCCCCAAAGCATGGGAGAAAGAGCAATGGAAGTATACGGGGAAGAACATACATTTACTTCATCGCTGCGCTGACTCATAAAAAAATAAAAATAAGAAACCAATTATCAAGCTGGGGAAAGTCCACTGAGTTGAGAGAGACTGCAAATGGCTTTTTCATTCCAGTCTAAATAATTTCTACATGAAATAGTTGACTCTTGAGCTTCTATTTTTCTACCTCCAAGATAAATACAACCTGGTATTAACATGTGGTAAAAAAGAAAACACATGCGATAAATCACATAAACCACATTTGGTAATCCCATGCTTCTAAATCAACTCAGCATTTATAGAAATTTCCCTGGAAAGAGGTTAGTTCATGGTCCTGAAAACCTCCATGTACTTCACCGTAGATATCTCCATAGTTCCTCCTGACCGAATCACTACTGCCCAAACCTCTCTGTGTGTCAGCGATCAAAGAAAATTCACCTTCTTCATTGTATCTGCTGCATCATACCGCACTGTGTCCGAGAGAGTGGATTCCACCCACACTAGGCATCACTGTTTACAACTGTTTAATCCTCTACCCACTGCAAAAAAGTACATTTCTCAAAGGCAAATTAATCACATGTTCTCACACTTGAGATTCTATAGGTTTTCTTTTTCCCAGGCCATTATGTCCTTCCTTCCCTCACTGCCCATGCTCAGTTACCCAAGGTATTTCAAAGGTGCGTTCCTTGTCTTACACTCAAATGACACGTTGCTTCTGAGAGCTTTCTAGCTACTCTGCATCCAAAACATCCCAAGCAAGGGGGACCTGGGCTAACACGACTGTTGACATCTTTTGCTCACCAGCTGGTCACCAGCAAGCACCCTGCGTGAGCACTGAAAGCTCTCTGAGACAAAGCAGCAAAGCCGATATCCCAAGGTATATGAATCCCACTGAAGCATGAAGAAAAAGATGACTTACACTCTGTTTACCATCTGGGAAACACTGTGCTTTTTCTTTTGTTTATAAAGCCAGAGTCTGGCTCGTGCCCTGGCACTAGGACAGTACTGTGGTCTCCCATCAGGCTAGAAGATGGCCATCAGAAAGTTCAGAACTGTCTAGACAACAGAGGCTCCAAGAAATGACTAAACTTGATCAACATTTCTTTGGGGACGGAGGTTTTCAGGGCAGGAGGAGGGAAAAGGAAGAAGTAAAGAAGTGAAAAGAGAAAAAAGTTGCTTCTTTTGCAAGTCACCTTTTTTTTGTGGCTTAAGACAAATTATCCTGTTACCAAGATTACATACTTCTATTTTTTTCTAAGCTTTTTGAGCTTCAACAAGCAGGCCGCCACGAAGCGAAGTAGCTATTGCTGACTCACATACTAATGTTCTGCCTAAACAAATCTTACTTCTTTGCTGAGTGGAAGCTCAAGGCTGCTCTCACTGAACTTGTAACTGACAAAATCACCATTCCCTTGTCATTTTCCAGGTATAGTTCACTTTCTGAAGAGCTTAACTTGCAGAAATTTTTTTTTTTTTAAAAAAAAAAAGAGAGAGCTAGAGCACTACAAAAATATTATGAAGTGGTGGCCTGGTTTTGGCTGGGACAGAGTTAATTTTCCTCTTAGTAGCTGTTGGGGTTGATGTAGCTTGAGATTTAGCATGCCTAGGCCGCTTAAGCAAAACAGCATAACTGAACGGGCCGCTGGAAAGGACAGCTAAGAATAGCCATTGAGAAAGTTCTGATAGTGCACATGATGTGGGTTAGCAAAAACAAGATGTGTTCAAGGACATGGAGGCGGCCTGTTGCTATTAGCGTTAGTGCATAGTTACCAATCATAAGGGAATATGGGGTGCGTGAACAGCGTGTGATTTATGTCTGTAGCCTATCCAAATAAGCGTGATCGCACGTGCAGATATGAAAAATGTATATAACCACCTGATGTTTTCAGCTGTTGCTACAAAATCAAGGACTTTTTCCAGTTTCTCATATTCAGCTAATGAGCAGGTGTGCAGGAGCTGGGAGGGAGCACAGCCAGGCAGATAGCCCAAGCTGGCCAATGGAAATATTCCATACCATGGATGTCACGCTCAGTTTATAAATTGGGGTTGGCCGGAGTCAGGAACCTTCTCTTTTCCATGAGTTTAAAACTTCTCTTGCCTGGGAGTTCGAACTTTCCCAGGAATTCTGTCTTTTTCAGGAGTTTTACGAAATTCATGAGTTCTGGGTTCCATGATCACTGCTTGAGGACTGGCTGCAAATTGGTCACTGGGTGGCAAGAAAATTGTGTCGTGTGTGGTTTATTTTGCATGTTTATTATTATGATTGTTAGTATCAGTATTTCCTTTGTTGTCTTGTTAAACTGTCTTTATCTCAACCCATGAGTTTCCCCTTTTGTCCATTTCACTTCCCCATCCCGTGGTGGGGAAGGGGAGGGGTGAGCGAGGGGCCGTCTGGTGCGTAGTTGCTGGCTGCCAGGTTAAACCACAACAAATGGCGTGTGTACATGTATGACCTTTGAAAGAGTTCTGAATCAAAGTTTGAATATAGTTGTATCATGGAAAGAAGTAAAAATTGGGAAAAAGCGTGTCTTAGTACTTCCTACTATGTTCAAAGTTCACTGACACCTGTTAACACGCTGGGCAACACACACTGTATAACACATACAGTAAACTGATGTTTGGAAAGAAACCTTAGACAAAAATGGGTCTGAAAAATATTCCTTGAATCTTGGCTTTTACAAGACTGTGGGGATTCAGCACTTCTCCTTGCTCCAGATCCATGATTCTCATTAAGACACCATAGACCTACAGCATGGCAACTTTGAATTGCATCTGTCTTGTGTTTAAAGGCTTCTCCCTTCACAGTCCAAATGAAAGGCTTGCATTTCTTCCAGACAACACCGCTATATGGATGGTGCAGGTTTTCTGTGGAACTTCTCATGGCAGTGATTTATTTTCAAATCACTGGATACTTTGGAGCAGTTACAATTTTTTTCTCTTCTCCCTCTCTGTCCTTCTACGTAACTGGGGACTGACATGGTGTGTTTTCCAGAAAGCCCTTGGTTTTCTAGTTCGTCACTACGTATTCTTCTTCATTGTGTCTTCCAGCAACTTCAGACTGAGTTCTCACATTCCCATTGTCTTTTGATAATCAGATTATTACTGTTATTATTTTTAGAATGACAGTTACAGACAGTATCGTATTTAATAGGAATAATGGGCCACAGAGATTTCCTGAGGAGAAGCGTATTACACTCAGGATTTGAGGTTTCTTATTTCCCTCAATTATACTACTTATATTAGCTAACTTGAAAACATTCACAATGGTAAAATATTAAAAATATGCTGGCTTTACTCCAGAGAAACTACTATCTTATTAAATCATGAAGACTCATCAGGAAAAATGCATCTGATTTGTTCAATACTGCAATAACTGCATGAAGCAAAAAAACTGCTTTAATTTAGCTGTCATGAGTGGTCAATATAGGGCACAAATCTACACATAAATTATACACATTTATACTTTCCTTTAAAAGGATTTAAGCCTAACTCAGTGGTCACAATGCAGTTTCTTACGACCATTCCTTTTGAACCTAGAGTCATTACAAAAAATACACACTTTCTACTGAAAGCTTCTGGTTTTCAAGACTTGTATCCTTAGGTCATATTACATTTGAGTGACAAAATAGCTGATTTCAAAAAATATTTCTGACAATGTGACATTCTATAGACTGATGTTCTTAATTTTATTTTTTTTTTTTATTTATTTCATAGAATCTTAGAATGGTTTGGGTTGGAAGGCTTCTTAAACACCACCTAGTTCCCACCCCCCTGCCAGGGGCAGGAACCACCTTTATGGAGGATGACTGATAATTGTTCCAGGTTCCTGCCTTCTATATTTAGAGTTCTAAGTTCTCTTTTCTTTTATTCTCTTGATATTCCACAAGAAACTGGTAATTATTTTTAAAAGCACAAAATAAAACATTATCCTCCTCTTAAAATTTTTTTAAAGAAAGTAGCAGGAAACTCAAGTGAAAGAAAATATACCAAAATTCTGTACAAAGTTTTTGAAATCTTCAATAAATCTTTGAGGCAGGGCAGAGAGCAGTTAAAAAAATTACTTACCATACAATAGCTAATCTTGGAATTGTAAACATTAAAGCTGGTTCATAGTCATCTATCATATCTTGAGTGAGGTATCCAAGCCTTAAGGCTCTAAGTAGAAGAATAAAAGTTCAAACTCTCGAAGAATCCATTTCAATACGAAAAAATTTGAAAAAATTGTTATAAGCCAAACCAAATTGATCATATTTAACTCACGAGCTACTTTTATGCAATCTAAAACACGATGGAACTGACTGCTGTAGAAAAAAAATTTAAGAAAAAAATCTTTAAACACTTAAAGCTTTTATAGTCAAACAAAACCAAAATAATTTTTATGCTACTTTCCCTTTTTATTTACTATTTCTTGTCAAGCTTCAGCTTGTTACTGAAAACCACTGGTGTTCAGAGTTTTTTAACTGAAAAAGCATTTTTCAAGTAACAGGGGAAAGTATTTGGTTTCATTTCCAAATAAAACTTGCTATAATCTTCTAGGTCAACTCCTGCTAAACAAACTGAACCAGAAAAACCCCAGTTCTATAGAGCAACTATTACTGAAGTCTGAGGATTTAATATTTGGGAGACACTTCATTGTCCTCCACTAACTTTTCAAATATCTTAAGCCCCTTTTTAGACAAAACCCCAATTTGTTTAGGCTTTTCACTTGGCTGTTTTCCAAGCTTCTTCACAATTTCTTAGTTTCTTCATAGTTCCATAACTTCCTCAAATTTATTCTCTGATTTGTCCATATCAGTGCTAAGATAACACTCAAAACTGAACATTAGTCCCACTAGAATGGAAACAACAACTTTTTCTTGTTCCTTGTCAGTACTTGTCTTGCCAACATTGCTGTTGGTGAACAGCAAAACATCCACAAAGCAAGCACTGCTTTGTACTAACGGCAAATGGACTCACCAGTGTGTGGCCCACGCTCACCCCCGTTTCTTTCCTACAGCCCACTGCCAGATTATCCAAAGTTGCAAGGGAGAAACCGTATTTTTCCGCTTACTGGGCAAATACCTGTATATGCAGGAACTATGACTGATGGGGGTAATTCCTCCTACTTGTTGTGACCATTTTGAGTTGTAATCTTGTCTTTCAAAATGTTTAGATACCTCTGATCTTGGTGTCAACTACAGACTGCAGCAGTGTGCTCTGCACTCCTTCACTGCTTAATGAAAGCATCAACCACACCAGACCCAGGTTCATGCTTCCCAAGTTCTCCTTATATGACAGTAAGCCCAACACTTATTCCGAGTGCATTTTACAGTCAATTGGTCTCTAATCATTTCACCCAGACTACACTTCACTAGTTTCCTTTTGAGAAAAGCACTGCACTGCTCAAACCCTCACTAAAGCTGGAGAAGTCACACGCAGCTCCTCTCTGCTGCCCACCTGCTAGGCTAGTTACTGTCACAGGGGGGAAAAAGAGAAAAGTTGTACAGCAGTACATTCCAAACAAATTCACATTTGTCTTGTCACCTTATATGCCTAAAAGAGTTTATGAATTGCTAGATTCTTGGTTTTTAACATCATCTCTTCATATATATAGAGCCAAGCTCCAGTCCTCCAAGATTTTAAAGAGCCTTTCCAAGTTCTCTGTGATAATCACTAGAAGTTCACAGATAATTCGAATCACCTCCCCATGTATTCTTGCATGAAATATCATTAAATCTTGATGCCTTAAACAGATTTAGCTCATTTAAATGCTTAATCTTCATTTACACATCTATAACTTGGCACACCAACAATATTGTTATTGTTGGATTATTAACTTTTAAGGTTTTTTTGTCTAGAAAACAAAAGAGCATAGGCTTGTGCCTGGCAAGCATGCTTAATGCTTTTTAACTTTGTACTTGCATACTTACTAGAAAAGCAAAATACCTGGTGTTTTATGATGCTTTAAAGACTATGGTTAAAGTATTTTTACAAAAGCTCAGACTGACAGTAAACACAGACGTGAAAATCTAGTACTTGACTAAAATGCTTACCTCTCCACAGTTTCACAGAAAAGTACGATTACCTCTTGCTGTACATAATATTCCTTTGGAGACTTCACAGGTACCATGGCTGACACATAACTACAAAGATCATAAAATAATGTACTACTATTTTACATGCTTAACAAATCATATTCTAAATAAAAACAAACCTAGGACAAATCATCTTCGAAACATAACCTTTCCTGTACCATTCTGTATTTATTTTGACAGCACTCACTATGAAAATCGTACACTGTAAGAATCTAAGAAATGCAGCCAATTTATTTATTGCAGATTAAGGCAGTGGAACCGAGTAGTAATTTATAAATCTAATTATACACATTTAGCAATCAGAACTCCATACTGTGTGGCACAGGGAGATAGGTCCTAGAAGGATCTTTACTGAAGCATCTTGAAGATAGAATAGTATAGTCTGCATTTCGCTAAGAAAAAAACCTGACTAAAACATACATTTTATCTAGAAAGGTTTTACCTGAAATTATTTTAGTGATATTCAGTTGGCCAGCAGAGACAATTTAGGAGACTTAAAAATTAGCTTTATTTCTATGTGGAATTACACACAAAAGCACTAATTCACAAGAAGCATTGGTAAAAGTGGTTTTCTGTCACTGTATTAGTTAATCACTCATTTGTAGATTACAGGTAAGACAGGAAGGGAAAAGGTTGTTTGCAAAACAATGGCAAAGGAAAATGCTGTATGGAGAGTTGGTATGGACAGGTCAGAAACTCCGCACAGGAAATGTCAAGAAGCAGTTACTGATTGTCATCGCTCTCTGCGCTCAAAGCCACACTTAAAAACATGTTTTTAGCCAATGTTTTCAATTAAAATGTTTTTCAGTGTAACAGTATAATGATGGTTTTTTGACTCAGGAAAAATCGCTTACCTAAGTAAATACAAGAGAATATGAATACTGAGGAAGGGCAAACAGTAATGGGAGACAAGAAACCTGTTCTGCTGAAGGTAGGAATGGCTGTATTATATTAGATCCATAGATAATCTTATACAGTGTCCTGTCTGAAACTACTCCCAGCCACAAACATTTAACAGGCATGAAGGAAGCTGGCTTCAATTCTGAAGCACAATGCAAGACTTGGTCAATGTGACCTTTGAGGCAATAAGCAGTTACTCTTCTCACCCCAAAAGAAGTTATTTTTATTTTTGCTATAAACCTCCAAGTCATTTTTCAATCACAAGTTTTTAAATCAGTGAGTTCCTGTGGTTAATTATGGCTTGTGTAAAAGCACTTCCTTCATCAGATTTCAATTTGCCTTCTTAAATTCACTGGGTGCATCTTGCTTTTATCTCTAAGCGCAAGAGGACAAAACTTCATAATGCCTAGGCTATTTGTTATCATACATTTTTTTTGTTAATGTCTCTTATTTGTCGCCTTTCCTCCAACAAAGAAAACATTAAGGGAAGAGATTTATGGCTTCCTTTTGTGTCTTGGAAAACCTCCCTCAAATGCCATATGCCTTTATGCAAATAGCAGATTATAGTTTAGCTGAAGAGAGCAAATGTTGATTGCTAAAAAGCTATTTAATTTTCTTTTCATTATTGTTACACTGGAAGGAAAAAAATCTAACAATACAACAAATTACTGAAAAAAATCAAATAACATGATAAAAAAATTACTTCTATAAAAACAAAACAGAGAAAGCAGACAACTTCCAAAAACCAACAAGCCATGCAACAGCTGTAGAAGCCAAGCCAATGCTCACAATGCAATTACTTCAGATCTTTTACCTTAATTCAAATTCCGCAAAAAGGACATCGAAATGCTTGAGTGAATCTTTCATTTTTTCTGTGTAGAGGTTCAAATCCCTTAAGGCCTGGTCACGAATGATATTTCTAACTTCCTCTAGGCTTCGGGTCAGGTCCTTGGCCAACGGTCTCATAGCCATACTCTCAATTTCACGATTCATAATTATTGAACCAGCAGCCAAACACTATGAAATACATAAAAGAAAATATTATTTTTTACAAAGTTACTTTGTTTAAAAAACCATAAGGTGTGCTATTTAATACTTTGAACAAGGGCAGTACTTAGCCCCAATTTGTTGCAGATTGTTAAAGAAATGAAAGATTTAAGACTGACACGCCGAGAGTCATAAACCTTCACATAAAGGTTAGGGAGCAGCTCAGTCAGGGAGACAGGAGAACCGGAGGAGGTTCAAGTGCAAGAACCACAGAGCTGACAGAAGAACTTAAAAAAGCTCTTCTCCCACTAGTTAGGCAATAAGTACTGGTAGGACATATACTTTGTGTACGCAAGGATTGCTTGCACAAAAGGGATATGAATCCAGCTAAAGTACAATCAATTGACTGTTTAGATTCAGGCTGGACTGCTTGATTTTGTATAAAAAATCTATTCCTTACTAAAAGAGCAGAAATTCTGCAACTACGATGCCCTTTGCAGCAAAACTGGTCACATCGGCTATCAGACCTGGGATCCAGCTAGACCAGCATCCTGCCTCCCACAGAAGCCATGAATATATTTTACAGGAAAGAACATAAAAACCCGGTGCCAGAGCTATTATTCCCTTTCAGTTTCTGGAAAGTACCTGTTAAAGAGACTGCTTGCCTCAAGAGTTATACATGGACTCCCTCTGACTAGCTCACAAAGACATTAGAAGTAGGTTTTTACTGTAACACATTAATAAAACTTTTAAAATCTTGCTATTAAAAACAAGCTATTCAATAACCTCTGCTGGTGGCATAATTCCTTTACAGATACATTTGGAAGGCAACAAGTACTGACATAAGTCTTACTTGCTGTATTAATGGAAATATGTGTATTAAAGTGAGAACATAAAAGGTTGTTCTAGTCTCTCAAAGGTCTAACTTTTTTTCTTTTTTTTTAAGCTCCATTTGCAGCCCTGTGTCCCTCCCATCTCCCCTGCACTCCCCTGGACAGGAGGCATTTCTGCAGCTCTACATGGGGTACCTGCACTCCCAGACATTGCTCAGCACCCTGATGCACTGATTCATGTTTTAAGGGCACTCTGAGAAGATCATGTTCTTACCTCTTACCAGCCAAAGCAGTACTTGTGGGAAAGTATGGATAAGGCAAGTCTTAGCTGTTGATAGGTACTCTTAGCCTGATAAGTCAGAGTGATTACACTGACAGACTCCTAAGTGTATATTCATAACAGTCCACAGAGTCTTCCTTATTACATGAATTTACAGGAGGACAGTGCCTACAGTAGAACAAGTTAGCATTACTTCATCAATGCGTATGTTACTTTCTCTGAAACAAATAGGTCTCTCTAGCCTGTTGGTTTAGTTTGGAGACAGTGAAAGTTTGATTTGGAAAGAGTAAAAGCATTAGCTTATGTAAAATAAACAAACAGTGAATAAAGGGAGACTTTTTTTATCTCCTAGAAGATACCGGCTGTCTCGGTAATTCTCTCGAGCATTTTCCACAATGCATGGAGAAGTTACTACATTGGTCAACATTTTTCCTGCTTGTTTGTTGCTGTAATCCCGGTTTGTCCGACCCTTAGAGTAAGAAAGGGCAACAGGATTCATTACGGATGGCTGCAGAAGGAATTACCCTATCTTCTCCTACCTACCTATCAAGGAAGCACCATTAAGCCAACGTGTCAGACTCTCAGCATTTCAAAACAGAGCATGGTGTCACCTGGATGATGGCAGTGAAGTCACATGATAACGAGAAAAAAAAATTGCTGCTGTTTTTGCTGAGGACAGGATTATAAAGCATTGGCATATCAAATTCATCTCGTAAAATTTACCCAGGACTTCCCCGGCTCAGAGGCGCCTACAATTAACAATTGTCAATGACAGTTTCAGAAACAGAACTCATGGAGCCATACCGGACTGAACAAAACAGGAACTACTGATGGGAAGCATGCACTTTAAAAAGAAACGAGGAACTGGTAGAGAAAAGAACGGATAGCAACAGGAGCCGAAGGTTTGCTTCAAACACAGGAGAGGCAAAGCTGAAAACACCACCGCCACGTGCTGTTGTGTGGTGGGATATCTAGACTACTCCCCCCCCAACCTTCAACAAATCCATGGTGCTTAAAGTCACCCTCAGGCCAGCAGACCTGAAGACACTAATTTTGTCATGAAAGATGCCACCATGATTTTATTTATTTTTTTTTTAGCCAACAGACATCAATACTAGTGAATAAGTATCTTACACCTCACATCATTTTTTCTGACATTTCAGGCTTCCCTTGGTTAAAATAATAAAAGCTTATTCACTACAAAAATCCCTTGTTCCTAAAGGTTGCTGTAGGAGCAGGTCTTTGAGGTAAACTTCGTAAAAGAAAAGTGGACTTCAGTGTTTTCCAAACACCATTATATTTTTAGCATACACGTGAAACAAGTGAATTATGTGCAACAAATGTCAGCTCAGTTATGTACGTTTAATACAAGTTATAACATAATACAGCCATTAAAGTGATAGCGTGCACTTCTATTTGTTGGAGATAAACTTCTACCCTGACAAAATTCCCTTATATATCTTTATTTGCTTCCAAGATTTTAAAGGCATGAGATGTGAGATGGCACATTAGGATTAAAAAAAAAAGTCAAGAATATTAATCAGATGCTAATTCACAAAAAAAGTTTTGAAAAGTTGGTCATAATGACAGCAGACAATTATGAAAATAAACCTGTATGCTGTTAGCCCCACCAATACCAAAACCATAGTTAAAGCATCCGCCTCCACTAAGCATCCAGAGCAAGTTCTCAAAGATGTTTGCTTTGCTCTGTAATTATATGTACCATTTTCAGAAAAGTTTCAATATGTACTTTAAACTTCTGGTTTTATACCACAAAAAATGGTCCATTAACCCCGAGTAACAGAAATACAAGAGACTTACTTCTGCTCCAAACCAAAGCTGTCCTGCGAGGTTGTCATGGCGTATTTCCTCTGGAAACTTCACACAAAAGTCTCGGTTGGCCCGTTCATGTGGAATGCATTCATCCATGATTTGATTTATAATGTTCAAAACATTATCCTGAAGGAAAATACAGGATAGCATATATACTGTTCCCACAGAAATGCCACAAAATTCTTTTAACAGAATTTATTAGTGAGGCACCAATTAATTAACTAACATAGAAAAAGCAGTAGTTTACTCTTATGGTCACACACACAGAGAACAAAGAGGAAAATTTTGCATAGAAAAAAGTGGCAAACTTCACTTTTTGTAGCTTTCCTAGAGATCGTTCCTCAGATTCACTGCACTTAACTGCCTACTTCAGTGGGACTTCTGATGAGGAGGCATGATTTAACGAGCTCGTTACCTCCAGCTCTCTATCCATAAAATATCAGTAAATAAAGTAGACATACAAGTAAACTAGACTTCTCTCGTTTCCTCTTACCAGCCCCAATGCTATGCACTTCACTCTTCCCCCAAAAAACACGTGACAGAATACCCTGGAGGTGTTAGAAATTGAGTTACATTGGGATCCTTGGGGTCGAATAGACTTCAACTCATCCTGGGAATCGAAATGAGGTGGCTTCCACCCTTGAGTCCCCAGTGGACAAGGGCTGGCCCACCTGCCAACTGTCTCACCCCCTTGGCCACCCAGGGGCACAGGGACACCCCATAAGTTAGAGAGTCTTAATAACTGCTCTGATCTACGCCTGCACCAGGACAAAGATCAAAGGCCTGTAACCAGCTTCTTGATACACAGTAAATAATCTGCATTCATTTATTTGAAAAGATAATTTTCACATACCCCTGCTGGGAGCTCCATGAAATGTGATTAACATAATAAAGGTAGATTCAGAACATGAAATAGGCTGAGTGTTTTCATTAAAGATGTTTTATCTGTCTCATACTTCTTCCACTATTTACAGAATTCCTGTTCTATTTCAAATATTTTTCAAACAAATAAAAACAAATTTGTCTGTATAGAACTGTTTAACAGACAGAATTGCTTTAAGTCTACACTTCACTGTTATTTTCCTCTGCATTGAAAAAAATAATACAAGACAGGAATTTTGAAGAACTCTGCCCCTTTCACATGTTCCCCACTAGGAAAGACACATCCTACTTTAGGTACAAGAAAAGATTCACATTTTCTGTAATTTCAGTGCAGACTGCTGTAACTGCTGTTGCCACAAAATAATCTTAACATCAATGCCATAACCACAGTTGTCTTAATCAAAAATAAATAAATTAACCGTTGGCAACATCTATTACACATTGGTATAAGGTACTTTGTGTTAACAATTAAAACATCTTTACATAAACGTATTTTTTACAAGTCTGTCACGAGACAACACATTTCATTTCAATGAAGTTGTTAAAATAAACAGCCCCAACATTTAAAACACACTGGAACACATAATATTCAACCAGCCTCTCCAGAAACAAATCTGAAAACCAAATGCTCTGTAGCTCCTCCGTGGCATCACAACACAGACCACGGCCAGCAGGTATGAGAAGCGTCGAGAAAACAAAGCCAGATTCACCAACACACAAAGTCCTTCATTTCAGAGCCGCCCCCTCACTCTGCTGGGTATTCGCCTACTGCCCAGATCAGTGGGGCGCTTGGATCCCTAGGAATTCAAAGAGATGCCCACAGCAGAAACTGAGGGGAGAAACAGCCTCACAACATTCCCTAGTGTAACTGCAAGGGGAGCTGAAGTTCAAATCCTGGAAGGAGCGAGAACAGAGCAGAGATGCCCACACCCTGTTTTGGCACTGCCATCCTGCACCACGGGCTGAAGAGTGAGCCAGACTACCACCACTGCCCCTCTGCAGGATAACACGGAGACAGTCACGGAATCATGTGCAAATTAGTATGATGCTTTAGGCTGAGAAAAAGCAGACTAATAGCAAGTTTCCTATTTCCCTTCCTTCCATTTCTTAATTCCTGGTATTGAGTATACTTCTCTCTTCATCATTTAACTAGATCTAGCTGGGGAACCAAAATATTTTGAATAGAATCATAGAATCATTAAGATTGGAAAGTACCTCTAAGATCATAAAGTCCAACTGTCAACCTAACATCACCATGCCTGCTAAACCATATCCCAAAGTGCCACCTCTACACACTTTTTGAACACCTCCAGGGATGGTGACTCCACCACTTCCCTGGGCAGCCTGTTCCAATGCCTGACCACTCTTTCAGTAAAGAAGTTTTTCCTAATACCCAGTCTAAACCTCCCCCGGCACAACTTGAGGCCATTGCCTCTCATCCTATCACTGGTTACTTGGGAGAAGAGACCAACACCTGCCTCACTACACCCTTCTTTCAGGCAGTTGTAGAGAGAGCGATAAGGTCCCCCCTCAGCCTCCTCTTCTCCAGGCTAAACAGCCCCAGCTCCCTCAGCTGCTCCTCATCAGATTTGTTCTCCAGACCCTTCACCAGCCTCATTGCCCTTCTCTGGACACATTCCAGCACCTCAATGTCTTTTTTGTAGTGAGGGGCCCAAAACTGAACAGAGCACTCCAGGTATGGCCTCACCAGTGCCAAGTACAGGGGCACGATCACTGCCCTAGGGAAAGCAGGTCCCATGAAGAAATCAACCCCTAAACTAATTAGTTCCTACCCAAAGTTACAGAGTAAAGAATGAAACTGAGGGTTAAAGCACTTAAATTATAGAAGTGCACGAGTCACTCACAAGGTATTTTACATCAGTTATTACTGACCTATTTTGAGACCAGCTGCTTTGCCTGTAGCTCCCATTTCATCACCACAGCAATACAGGTTGGCACATTAGGATGAAAAAGACAGATTGCTATGTTCAAGGAATTAATATAAGTTTGCAAAGATCTTTTAGCATTGCAGAGGCACAGTGGTAAAAAGTAATCCTACCAGTTAAATTTACTAAAGCTGTTGAAATACAAAGTAGTATTAAAGCAGGGAACTCTCAAAATAATTATATTTGAATCTGATTACATCATATTTTAAATAATCCAATTTCTTTTTAGTTTAGGACATGATATTCCAATTCATTTTACTTGCCACCAGACCTGAATTTGGGAAAACACAATTTTCCATCTCTTGCTTTTTGTCTAAAAAGCAACACAGAACAGGTTGAGACCTATACTGAAAAGCCTTCCCCCAAAAAACTTTTACTTTAATGCATTATTTTTCAAATGCAAATCTTGTTTTACAGCACTTACAAGACACACCAAGTTCCCACTTCATAATCATCTGGAGATTTACTCAAAATTCTTGATATATCAAAGAAAGTTTTATATAAACGGAGTACAGCAACAGGACTCGTATCTGGCCAAGCAAGTGTCCTGTATTTTTGGTCTGTTTTTCTCATCATTATACCTGTAAAAAAGTACTAAGATTCTGCCTAAATCATCTCAAGAGCTTATTATTATAAGCATCATGAAATTACGTATTTAACGCACTCAAATAAAATATTGTAACTGAAGACAATAGGATATAATCAACACAATTAAACTTCATACAAAACAAAGATAATACTGATTTTTCACCCATTTTTTGTCATTTGTTTACCACTTAAATGACATTTAACACTTTTCCTCATTTCTTCAGGTATTCTTATAATCTCTAGACGATTCTGCTCCAGAGCACCCAAGATCTAGCAACACATCTCCACGTATGCCAAACTTCCTGAGTCAGTTTAAAAAAAAAAGTTTTGTAACTTGTGCAGTACTAGTAAGTTAAACCATAGGTAATCAGAATTTTAATATACACTTTCCAACAGCGATAAGTCACAGTAGCTCAATCTCTGGACTAGTAGCAGTTGTTTGTAAAAAGTTACCTGGCAGCACACAGGCAGGTGGCCATTCTGTCAAAAAGCTAAGTGAAAAAGCCAACTAAAAGAAAACGGCATCTTCTCCCGCATACTCCAGTGGTGACACTGGAAGATTAAGGAAAGAGTAGCTGACAGAACTTTGCTATTTAGTGTATAAATGCTGAAAAAATTCTACCAGGTGAATTATTTTTGCTGTTTCAAGATGTGCAGTTTCTCAAGTTCTCTGATTTTCTACAGGGTTTATTTTATCCTGCTACAGAAAATAATTCTCCATCACCTTCCTTCCCTCGTCCACTCCTCCTTCTTATGACACCCTGAGCAGAGTAACCTAAATAGGAGATCTGGAATACTTGCTCCGATAATGACTTCAGATCTCAGCTGCTTTGAAACTGGAAGGATGCCAGTCCATTTAGACAGACTATCCAACGTATTGTGAGCAAATTAGTCTTTTCTTTAAAAGAGCTTCAAGAAACATTCAATTTAGTTAATTACAGTATTCTGCTTTGTAAGCTAAGAACGAATGGGTTTGGATACATGGTAACATTGAGGTTTTGCTCTAATTTAAGCAACAGAAATCAATTAGTTGGAATTGAAGTAGTAAATCTTTCACTTGATCCATCTTTCCACATAAAAGCCTCCGGAATTTTATGCACCCTTTGGTGGCTTTATCCATTCTCTTTTAGTTCATTTGCATACTGGGATGAGCACAGTGCTGTTCCAGCTGCTCTGCTGAGGCTTTCCAGCAGCACAACAGGCAGCCGCTGCAGAGATGCTGCTTTGGGATTTATTCCAAGTTGGTTTCCTGGAAAACAGAGTTCAGTGTTTCATATAACAGAGAACACTTTATTTTATTTTGATAAGAAAGATAATGAGTGGTAGTGAGGCAATGTATGTAGCAAGCCACAGCAGAGGACAAAAATACGGTTTATTTTTGGCCCAGCAGTAATTGCCCATATACTCAATAACCGGAGCATAAAACTAACAGCAACTGCTGCATTAGCTTTCTAAATAGGTAAAAAAAGAAAAGCCAATAACTTCATCTTACTTATGCTCTAAAACATATGTCTAGATCAACAAAAGGCAGACTTATCTACCCTTTCATACATGCCCTTGATAAAATCTATGCTGCTCGTCCATGCTATTAAATTTAACATGACCTTCTTGAGGGCTTTTGCAATATTTCTTCAGAGGAAGATAACTTCCCATGCTGTTCAGTACCTCTTTAATAACCAATTTTTGAATTATCAGTAAAACCTAGCCAAG